TTGTTTCGTTAATCCTCACCAGAGGATATTTTTTCATTGATTTTGTTGTTTTTTTTAGAGAGGGTGGAAGGGGTAGAGGCAGAGTAGCTGGGAGAGAGGGGCGGGGAGGGGGGAGGGAGAGAGAGAAAAAAACATCAAGAGAGATATGAGAGAGATACATTGACTGGTTGCCTCACGCACATGCCCCAACTGGGACCAGGGAACGAACCTGCAACCCAGGTACATGCCTTTGATGGAGATTTGAACTCGTTACCCTTCTGTCCATAGGCTAATGCTCTAATCACTGAGCATGCAGGCTAGGGCTATCTATATTATTATTTTTAAGCAATCAAGGCCATTAAGGCAGAGGTAAAATTTTACCTAAATGTGACTTTTTCATATGGAGAGAGTATCAGATGGATGCTGTTTTTGGCAACATAATACAACATAACGTTTTCTTAGTATTCTACAAACATTCCCAAAAAATGTATGTTTTTTTATTCTTGAAATATATAAATAGCTCTTAAATTGTATTACCCATTTTTTTCTTTTTTAGCTCATTTAAAGTGTACTAAAAAGTTCCGTTATACTTTTATTTTTGTCATGTCTCCTTTCATTCTAATACTTAAAATTTTAATTATTTAGCTATTTTTGTTGCTAGATATCTGTTCCCGTTGAAATCTATTTTTAAAAATTATTTGAAAAATATTTTTATTGTTGACAGTCCCCCCATTGTCTTCACTACCTTACTGTCTGTGTTGATGGGCTATGCATATAAGTTACTTTGTTTCTCTCTCTTCATCCTCCACCCCCACATCGAGGTATGTCAGTGTTCCATGCCTCCATGCTTCAGGACTTATTTTGTTGGTCAATTCATTTTGTTCATCAGAGTCCACAAATAAGTGAGATCATGTGATATTTGTCTTTCTCAGAGAGGCTTATTTCAGTTAGCAGAATAGTCTCCAGGTCCATCCATGTGCCAAAAGTAAGAGATCCCTCTTTTTCACAGCTGCATAATATTCCATGGTATAGATGTCCTACAGCTTTTTTTATTCATTCATCCACTGGTGGGCTCTTAGGCTGTTTCCAAATCTTAGCTATTGTAAATAAGGGGTGCACATATTTCTGATTGGTGTTTAGGGGTTTTTAGGATATGTTCTCAGAAGTGGGATTGCTGGGTCAAACAGAAATTCCATTTTTAATTTTTTGAGGAAACTCCATACGTTCTCCATAGTGGCTGCACTAATATGCATTCCCACCAGCAGTGAACTAGTATTCCCTTTTCTCCACATCCTCGCCAGCACTTGTTGTTTGCTGATTTTTTTTGATGATAGCCATTCTGACAGGTGTGAGGTAATATCTTATTGTGGTTTTTTTTTCACCCCTCCCCCTTCTTTTTCATTTCTACCCACTTAAAAGCCACTGGAAAATGTCAGGGCTTCAGAAATTCCTTGCATCCCAGCTCCACTCCAAGGAGCCCGTGGGCTGAGGCACCCAGAAGGCTGCTGGGTCCCAGGGCCCAGGCAGGAGGGTGGGCAGACACGTGGTGCCCGAGGTCCATGAGGAAGGACACTTGGGGTAAAACCAGGAGATCCGGACCAGGGGATTGGATGAAGAGGGCCCAGTGGGATTCCAAAGCCCTTCAGCCTCATGGGATGGGAGCCTTGAGAAAGGGAAGAAAAAGTGCTGCTGTGGCAGTGGAACCCCGATTCTCATTCTGGCTTTTTCTGCCTCTATTTCCACCTGAAGGCTGCCTGGGGCGGGAGGGAGGGGAAAGGTTGAGGTTGTGGGGAATTCCGCGCGATACTCAACAGATCAGGAGCTCGCAGTATGGCGGCTTCTCTTCTCAAGCCTTACTGTGATTTTAATTTGAATTTCTCTGATGATTAGTGACTGAGTATTTTTTAATAGGTCTCTTGGCTATTTATGTCCTCTTTGGAGAAATGTCTATTCAGGTCTGCCCATTTTGGATATTAGCCCCGTATTGGATGTATCATTGGCACATATGTTCTTCCATACAGTGGGTTCCCTTTTTATTTTGATGCTGGTTTCTTTTGATGTGAAGAAGCTTTTTGTTTGATGTAGTCCCACTTGTTTATTTTTTCCCCCCTGTGTTTCCCTTGCCCAAGCAGATGTATTAGCAAAAATATTGCTATGAAAGATGTCTGAGATTTTTCTGCCTATGTTTTTGTGTACCAGCTTTTGATGGAAAGTGTACTTGTGATTTGCATTTGAAAAATGTTTGAAATCTGCTTCTTAAATCTGAGAACTCCTTTTCTGCTCAACTCATAAATATTGGTGTACCGAAGGGTACTGTCCTTGGTGCTATTCCCCCTCATCCTATATAATAAAAGGCTAATATGCAAATCAACCAAACAGTGGAACGACTGGTCGCTATGATATGCACTGACCACCACGGGGCAGACAATGCAGGAGCTGCCCCCTGGTGGTCAGTGTGCTCCCACAGGGGGAGCGTCACTCAGTCAGAAGTCAGGCTCACATCTGGCGAGCATAGCGGCGGTGGTGGGAACCTCTCCTGCCTCCGAGGCAACTCTAGGGATATCTGACTGACGGCTTCCGGACTGCGAGAGGGCGCAGGCCAGGCTGAGGGATCCCCCACCCCCCTCAACCAGGTGCATGAATTTCATTCACTGGGCCTCTAGTTAATTATAACTGCTTCAGATTGAACTACTTACAATGCTGGTGGTTCCCTCTGGAACTATAAACACATTCTATATAAAACTTACTACATTCTGGCTAAGATTACTTTCCCCTCATTTTTAGTAATTGTGTAATTGTCCATGAATTACTAACACCGTCATCATACAGTCATCATGAAGTCATTTGGTTTTGCCTCTAAATTATCCTACATATATCTATATAGTTTAGTCTCTTATTTTGTGACTAATGAACCAGCCTTTTAACTAGAGAGCTAGTTTAGCCTAGGTTTTAAGAGGAAGGGTATATTCAGACATCATGGTTTCAGATCTTGGCCCTTCTCTCATCTCCTGTTTACATTGCCATATGATCTTGAGAATGTTACTTGAGCTCTGAACCTTAATTTCCTGATCTTTGAAATGGTGATAGTAATTGAACTTACTTTAAGAGGTGTTTGAGGACTCATTGAACTAATACATATAAATTTCTCAATAAGTACTTATGGGTCTTACAGTAAAACTTTGTATTAATGCAGATTTAAATATAATTTGATCATGATTATTCTCAAACAGGCAGGTTACAATTCTACTGAAGTGAGGGCAGAAGTGCTGGGTAGAGCAAGGTTGGGTTGGGAAACATCAGAGAAGAGATCTGGGTGGCAGAGGTCCCACTGGTCTTCTGAGCCAATTTTTATGAATCAAGTGGGAAAAATGGCACCAACTAATAAGAGATTCCTGGAATTCCTTAGAACAACAGCTTCAGCCTGGTATCAAACTACAGTCTTAGTTCATGTTAGTCTTAGTTTGGCTGGCTCAGAAAGCTTATGCAATTATTTTACTTTCCAACAGAGAACTCCTTTTCTGCTCAAGTCATAAATATTGGTGTACTGAAGGATACTGTCCTTGATCCTATTCCCCCTCATTAATTATAATTAATGAGGGGAAATAATAATAAAAAATAATTCTCTATTTTATGCAGTTGAATTTTGGGGCCTCACTTATTTTGTTAAGGCAGGGTTTTACCTATTTTTTAAATTAATTAATTTGATTATTTTTAATCCTCACCCAAGGACATGCTTAGAGAGAGGAAGGGAGAGAGGGAGAGACAGAAAAACATCAATGTGATTGGTTGCCTTCCATGTGTCCCAACTGGGGATCGAACCCACAACCCAGGTTTGTACCCTGACTGGGAATCAAACTGGCAAACTTCCAGTATATAGTTGTTGCTCAACCACTGAGCAGCACCAACTGGTCCAGGCTACCTTATTTTTAATTAACCTTTTATCTCAATTTCCTCTTCATATTGTAGTTAGAATGTTTTTTTAACCTGAAATTGAATTAGAATAAATTATTGTAGTTTGATATTTTAATTTCATGTATTTCCCACTTCCAAAATTTGCCGGGAGCCGGTCCATCCTTGCTGTTTCAAGGGACCTGGCATGTATGGAATACTGTTCTTAATATGTTTGCTCACCTTCTTGGCACTATGTGTTTTAACCAAGGTCACCTCTCTGAGAAAGGTTGTTTCCCCAGGTAGGGATTTTCCCCTGAAGTTAGGGAGGGAATAAAACCTCTTAACTGCCAGGTGGGTAATTAATCACTTTAACTATGAACAATCATGCTTAAGTACATAATCTTTACTCCCTGGAATGGAGA